AATGTTTATCGATCTCAGATCGCAGGCAGATCGCAACCGATCTGCGCCAGACTCCCTTTGCAGCTGAGCCTCCGTGTCAAGAAGCTTGGAGTTTCCTGATCGCCCCTCCGAGCACTGAATCGATGCCCTCATCGCCCGAGAATCGAAGCTCTATCAAGCGGCGACGGCGACGGGGAGTGCTCGAGCCGAAACACTGCACCGAGCCGAGCTCGGAGTGCGGAACCGGAGGTGAGCAGAATGGATACCTTTTATATTTTTCAAACCTACAGTAATTGACAGGCGAGAAATCAAACAAGCGGCTTAGAGCACACTTTCGGATTGCACACGCTCGTGGTTGTTGGCAATTGGCTCATGGATTCTCATTGTCAGTAGCCCGCGCACTCGCCAGCAGAAAAATATTGCTATGTTTTTCATCAATGAAATGGGTCTCCTGAGTTCCTCCATCGTTCTCCTGCAATACCTTACAAATGGTTGCTTCATGTTCTGTCTGAAAATGTAGCTAGCGCTGGGGCCCCTGAGGTACACAACAAGTACCAGGGCAGCTGCGCACCGGAGCACAAGGCCAAGTACAGCGATGAAGAGCAGCAAGGCGAGATTAAGAACAGGAAAAGAATGGAGAACACAAACAAGTCAAGAAGGTTTGATTCAACAAAGAGAGTAGAGTAAGGATCTCAAAGAAGATAAAATCGAAGAAAAAGACAAGTTCTCCGCTGGGGATTGAACATTGCAAACGAGGCATGCCTCTCTTTAGCGAATTGCTTGCTGAACCACCGAAAGCATCACAAAGCTCCGTCTCTCCAGACCGGTAACCCTCAGTTTCCGTTGTAATGCGTCTGCTGGGCACGGATGGAAGCTTGGATCCCCAAGCAGACTTACCTCGGAGAAGCATCCAATGTGACCAAGAGAAGCATGGATGACCTGTGCTTTAAGAGAAGCATAACAAAACACACAAAAAATGTCTTATACAATTTGAATACTTGCACACGAAGTTCTTCCCTCAAATGTCTCAAACGACGCCTTCGTTTCGTCGGCATGCCTGTCGAAAGATCGCAACTTGGAGGAAAAGAAACTCTGGGCCGCCCCACATCCTGTAAAATGCCCTCAGAGTCTGGCAAGCAACCGCCCTGCGCACGCAAAAAAATATTTGAACAATCAACCACAACATACCACAACCAAACCTCGCAGATTCCACCAAACATTTAGAAGTGTCACTTCTCTTGTCCATCGACGGACTCCAGTGTTGGGCCATCCCCAGTACTGCTAGTACAGTACAGCAAGTCTACAGTGTGCGGTCCTGCAGCAGACCAGCGTCTCGTTCGGATAAGCCACGCGAGAAAAGGAGCATCTCATCAACGCGGCCAGCCATCTGCGCTTGATGACATGTGTTTCATGCCAGTCTCAAGTCTCAACCGGCTTCAACTGGTGACCTTCTTTTCAACCACTTGCAGCATGTTTCTAATTATTCGTGGTCCATGCATTAACTAGCTCCAGCTTAGAAACAACATTCCGATCAAGCTCACCAGGCTCTTAGCGATTTAAAACTTCTGCTTTCAACTCAAATCGACCCAATGCCTTGGTCGGCAGGCATGCTCCACGCCACTTTGCCTGCCAAAACTCCGGAAGCTAAGGAACCACATGATGCAAATAAGCAAACCCACTGAAAGCCAACTGCAAAATGAGCCGACTGAGACTTTTACAAGCTTGTGTATGTGATGCACTGTTGTATTCAAAAAGCAGCACTCGTGAAGGAAACTGGTTCACTTCCTTGAACATTTATGCATGTGGGAGGCCATCGCTATTAGGTTGGAGGCCACCGCTACTCGGATGCATCGCCGCATCGCTATTAAGTTCCTTTTGCTAGTCATGAAGAAATATGTTTCTCTCGCTGAGATCCGCTTTTTGTGGCAGTGATTCTTGCTGCTCGACAATGTTATGCTCCTGGCATGAGGAATCTAACCTGTGTCAAAACGTCTTTCTACCTAAGACCTAAGGACCTAAAGGCAAAGCACCACCCAAGTCCTTATTTCAACTCGTATTCCACCGCGGAGATATCATTGCTGGTGCAAGGCTCCTTAGATGTGCAAATGTGTAGGAAAACTGAAGTCGAGCACTAGTCTACATTGATCCCAATGGTCCTTCGGACAAATGCGCCCATCATTCTCAGTCGAGTCAAACATGTTCAGATTTGCTGAATGACCAAGCTGCGAAGTCCTCGTGCTCGTCTGCTTTCAACACTCCCCACTTGCTTACCTGCAGCAAATGGACCAGATGTTCACCATTGCTATCCTGTTATCCTCAACACCTGTGGGGGATTCCTTGAACACCGTTTAGCGACTTGAGCCATTCAGGGCCATCAAAGGCAGCATCACGCCCCGGGCATTCTGTCAGAGCCTCCAGCCGAATATGGTTGGCCACCATGCGGATGTTGGCATTCTGGATGCGAAGAATAGAGCCTCATGACAATGAAGAGTTGTCAATGAATATAAGACTTGCTTGCAATCACAGTCTATTATATAATATAGCAATTTTTTTGTTTTTTTCCAGCCATCAAGTTGTTGAGACGATCTCCTCTCATCATGCCTGAATTCCTATTGCCTATTGCATTCTTCGTGCAAATCTTCTCAGGGCCAAGTTGGATATTGCTTAAGATGACTCACCTATGGGTTAAGTCGCTAAAAACATTTGGTTATGCCGCTAGATATGCTGAGGTACCAAAACAAAAAACAAAAAAACCTCGTTCTTTGGTTGTTCCCTTAACCAAAAACTTATGTGAGAGGTCCACCTCCCTAGGTCCACACCTTCCACGCAGCTTTGCACTTGTTCCTCCCGAGGTCGGAGAGTCACCACTCCAGTCGCATCACCCAGGACCACCTCGTTCACATCCTGGGTGCACCACATCGTTCACAGTGCCTAAACACAGAGTGTGTGTGTGTGTCAACCCCTGTACCTAAGGGTTCCAATGTTTCCAAGCAGGGGGGCAGAGAGGACTTGCAAGGCTCTGCCCAACGAAGCTCTTTGCAAGATCCTAGGAAGCGGAAGCTGATCACTTCCGTGTACCTGCTCATTCTCTCACAAGCTGTTACCCTACTCTTCCACGGTTTGATTCATGGTTCTTCATGATACGTCCCTCAAACCTTTTCTCCTACCTTTTGCACTGCAGCTGAGCCGCGTCGAAGTTCGCCACCGCAGACATGTCAACACTTTGTTCAAACAATACAAGTGCGCTGACCCTTTCACCTTGCGTTTCCCTCACCTTCCTTCTCAACGTGGGAATTGAGTTAACAGCAAACCAATGTCAGAGTGTGAACCGCTCAGCCGTCCCACTTGGGTGCTGGGTGTGATCCTCCGCAAGGAGGCGCCGTTTTCATACCGGAAATCGTTTTCCTGAATCTTCGTCCTTTCACCGTGGATCACTTTCACTACTACTGAATTGTCTGAATAAAGAGCCGCCGGGCTTTCACGGTGAACAACCATAGCCGCCGGGCTAAAAAACGGAATTCCACTTGAGGTCAGGCATGTTTCCCCTTCCCCCCCCCCCGCCGAGTTCTACTCCCCGCCTAATTAGGGCAACACAGGGAAATGGTACTCGACACACTTGTGTGTCGGTGCCTTTCCCTTTGTTGTTCCTGTTCTAGTCCTCTCTACCCGGGCGGTGTAAGACTAAAGTCCCGCTCCCTAACTATTGCATTTAATTCGCCTCGGCTAAGTAGTCAGTGACTCTAGAGCGCTAAGTAGTCATACACACACGGACACACACACGCTACATACACCCCCTCCCTGCCCCCCCCTTCTTTCTTACGCTTTCGGTCGTTTCTTGCGCTTTTTCTCAGGCTTTTTAGGTTGTTCTTGAGGCTCGTTTCCCTGCCCAGTCAAGGGCTAAGTATTCACCTTTTTTCTACACCTATCTTTCTCTCTTGCCCTCTTGGCGCTGCTCTTTCTGCGTTTCTTTCTTTTGTTTCTAAGGCTTTTTAGGCGCCTACTCAGGTCGTTCGCACGAGCGCCGCAAAGCGGCACCGTGTGTGTGCGTCAACCCCTGCACCTAAGGGGTCCAATGTTTCCAAGCAGGGGGGCAGAGAGGACTTGCAAGGCTCTGCCCAACGAAGCTCTTTGCAAGATCCTAGGAAGCGGAAGCTGATCACTTCCGTGTACCTGCTCGTTCTCTCACAAGCTGTTACCCTACGCTTCCACGGTTTGATTCATGGTTCTTCATGATACGTCCCTCAAACCTTTTCTCCTACCTTTTGCACTGCAGCTGAGCCGCGTCGAAGTTCGCCACCGCAGACATGTCAACACTTTGTTCAAACAATACAAGTGCGCTGACCCTTTCACCTTGCGTTTCCCTCGCCTTCCTTCTCAACGTGTGAATTGAGTTAACAGCAAACCAATGTCAGAGTTTGTGTGCAAACCATGGAGTCAAGATAGTCATGGGTCCGCTATTTGACTCTGAAAAGGCTAGGCGTTTACCTAAAAGGCTGCAGCTTGGGGCACAATGCACGCACAATGGGGCACCAGATGGCACAGGCCCATCGTGGGTTCCTGTCGTAACGAAGCTGCACCTCTGTGTCTCTGCAAATGCTTGTGGCGTTGCGTAACTACCTTCTGCCTGTAGATTGTCCAGGCCGTTGCAGGTGAAGTCTCGGATTTGCCCTTCTTGAGCGTTGATTTCCAAATCTTCAGAAGCTTTTGGAGCATCCTTATTGCATCCAGCTGCATTTCACCTACACCTCAGGCCAACCTGGTTCTGCTGTGCGCCGCGCACTATTTTCTCAAGTTTGTGTTTGCACACATCGTCACATGTCTAGATGGTGTACAGTGTTTGCTAGTTCTTACGTCTGTTGTCCCTTTGTGACCTAGTGCAAAGCATTGTAACTTCCATCGAGGTATCCTTGTTTCTCTGTTCTAATTTGTTTGGCAGAAGAGACCACACATCATTCCGGTGTCAATCCCATTCCCCGCGCAGCGTTCGGCCACAGCAGGCTGCTACCCGTTAAGACCATCCCTCACCTAGCGGCCTGACCATCCTCCAATGCAATACGCTGTCGCCAAAAGCCAAGACCTTTGGAGTGATAGCTTGATGATGCTTAATGCAGGTTACTAACCCTAGTTGCACGTTCTCCCCAAGCAATTCGACTGCTCAAAGCTAGGAGCACTAGGACCCGGAACTTGCAAGTTTGTTGCGCGTGTTTTGGATTATGCGATCAAATAGCATTTCACATCTGCTGTCTGCTGCCCAACTTTCCCTTAGAAAATATAATATGAACATATATGAACCATCTGGGCCTTCAATCAAACAGCAATCGGAGCAACGTCTTGCGCCAGCCTGAGTCTCCCACACTCAGCACTTTGACCTCAGGACATGTCGGCCATGGACATCAATCCACTGTGATGACCACACGCAGCCCTACAAGGCAGTCGATCGACCTGCAGCCCAAGCCGCAACCTTCACATAGAGGTTGACTCCCTGCGAGGTGCTGCAGACCATGTTTGACACACAAGGCAAAAGATCAACACAAAACGTCCAAAAACCGAAACGAAACATCTATGGAGGCCATCGCTATTAGGTTGGAGGCCATTGCTATTATTTGCTATTGGGTTCTATTCGCTTTTAGGCGGGTGTTCAAAAGAAAAAGATGCTCACAGAGGGTTTCATCAAGAAACATCTATGGGCTATACGGGCTATGGGCATCTACTTTTGCACTCAGTATGACAAACAACTGGTTGGGCCTTTTGCTCTGGAGTCAAATCAGCCACAGTGTGCCAGGTGGGTTTTCTCAATTTCCTCCGCGGATTGCCCCAAAGAATGCACCTGATGCGAAGATTGGGGTCAGTGAGAGCATCCCAAGCATGTCATTCTCGGAGGTGAGTAGAGTGGGTGAGCTTAAGTCTGAGTGACAGAGATAGGGGCTGTCTGACTGCAAGAGGGCACATTTGCAAAGGCCTGCATGTTTTTCTTCTCAACAAAGACTTCGAGGTGAGCTGCAGGAGTATAGCGCCCGGAAGAATCATTTGGTAGCTCCTTGAGTAAGTTATAAAGCATGCTGAAAAATAACTAAGCGACGAGTGGCCCGAAAGCATTTTTCATCACGTATGAAGTCAGAGTGTGAGTTATGTGTTAAGTGTTCAGTGTGAAGTGTTAGGTCGAGTGTGTTGAGGCAGTGTGTGGGTCTCTGTGTGTGTGTATCTATGTCTGTGTGTGTGTGTATGAGTCCCTGTCTGTGTGTGTATCTATGTCTGTGTCTTTCTATGTCTTTCTATGTATCTATGGTAACGCCCTCACCGGCGGGCAAGCAGTGACAGCTCCGCCCAAGGTCGCGAGCATTCGAGCTGCTGGTAAGGGCAAGTGGTGAAGTTCTTCACTCTAGATATAGTGAACCAAGTAGCGCGCAGGTCTCCCAAGCCCACAGAGTCGCCATCTTCCAGCTCCCCAGCTACTCCGCGTACTACAGTTGCACTACAAAGTCGCCAGTTCTGGTCTTTCAGCTCCCCAGATACTCCGCGTGCTAAGGTTGTACTACAAAGTCGCCAGTTCTCATCTTCCAGCTCCCCAGATACTCCACGTACTACAGTTGTACTAGCAATTTCGCGCGCTCGACCCGCACGATCTCCGCAGAGGGCTGCGCGCGCATGGCACAAGTCGCACTCTCGCCTCCACCCTCCGCCTTTAAAGAGAATTTATAAAGTGGGGAAATGTTTTTCATTAGGATATCTCCCGTGAAAGTTTTCAATACTCACACTTGCATACTTGCACTGGGATACTTACACTTGCATACTTGCACTTGGATGCTTTCACTCTTACACTTACAATGGGATACTTACACTTGCATACTTTCACTTACAAAACGTTCACTTGGATACTTCTGTGCCATTGTGAGTATAGAAGTGTAAGTGTTCAAGTGTAAGTGTAGAAGTGTAAGTCTTCAAGTGTCAGTGTATGTAGTGTTCAAGTGTGCGTGTAGAAGTGTAAGTGTTCAAGTGTAAGTGTGTGTAGTGTTCAAGTGTAAGTGTAGAAGTGTCAGTGTTCAAGAGATTTTCCGGAAGAACCCTTCGCAATGCTTTCGGGAAAAAGGAAACAATATTTGTTAATGCATTGCAAACATGTACAAATTATGAGGCTACCTAGGGAAGGTGTTGCGGTGCGGGTCGGAATATAGCGGGTGTGTGTGTGTGGAACAGCAGCACGTGGAACTACTCCCCTGGAACAGCACTGGACCCTTCCAAGGTTTGAAAAGACCAGAGGTGCACCTGTTACTAGAAGCTTATTGTTCCTAGTAGCTTCTTGTTACTACTAGTAAGGCACCTGTTACTACTAGCGATGCACCTGTTACTACTAGCAACGAGCGATGCACCTTGACAAAATGAAGCACGTTTTATGAGGCTGGAGCCCTGGAGCCTGGAGCCCCATTTCTCTGTAGTCAACTTGAATCTTGACTTTGGGGACGGCGTGGGAAAGGCATTGAACCAGGTATCGAAAATAAAGTCCAGCGTAAACCAACAGGAAAAACAAACCGCCAAAGAACATCGGCCTTTTTGGGGTATGGGTCGCTTTTTGTCAGTCAGTCTAACTAAGCTCTTGTGCTGAACGAATGCCACTAGAGGCGTCTCATCACACAGCCTGAGACCGCACAAACCAGTCTCAAGCAACCCAGCAAAACCGAAGACAGCTGGAGGCAAACGGAGACAGCCGGAGCCGGAGACAAGCAAACCCTACCACTGCAAAGGCACCCGTTCAAAGGAGTAATAACCCTTGGGAAAAGCATTATTGAACCAGGTGCAACAAGTGAAAATATACATAATATATGTGTTAGTATTACAGTAGATCAATTATATTCAATTATTATATCTATATAATCGTATATGCATTATTTTGTGTGTAAGTATATACTATCTGTCAAGCATGAGGCCCAATGACTCATCTGCAAGAGGCACGCAAAAAGGGAAAACATGAAAACTCCGCTTTCAAAACCCAAAACTCACTTTCACCTGCCTGGCTGTCTTCATGTTCACTCTTTTGCCAGAATCTTCAAGCTCCCCCGAGCGTCGGTCCCGTCGAAAAACCACCACGTTGTCGCTGTCCTCAGGAGGTAGGCAACCCTTCACTCCCTCTCCGAAAATACCTGTCGATCCATACTTTTGCCTGAGATCCCTTGTGTTTGTTTCTCTTGAGTTCACAAATACAAGCTGAAGATAAAGCAGAATATATATATATATATAGCAGGCATAAAGGTATTAACGACACTATCAAGTCTCCTGGTTGGCCACCAAGATCCAGTTTCCAGATGGATGAATGCTGAAGTTCCGAGGGTGCTCCCCTGTGTAAAGCGAGCAAGGCCGCAGCAATCCAAGGGTGTCTGAATGAAAAGGAAAAAGTGGAAACAGCCGTGAAACTCTGAAGTGGCATGCTCAAATCACAGTTGCAAAGATGTTTTCTGCCTCCAGTATAGGTAAAGCCCACCAGCTTGAGCAAGCCATCTCTGGCAATGCTGAAACATACCAAACTATCGTGACCACGGTTGGAGCCATACCTGGACGAACAGCATCGGTACAAAGAGCCAACAAGCCGCACAAGCGGCGAATGGCGAAATGCAAAAGAAAGTATATAGAAGGAAGAAACAAACAAAAGTGAGCTAGGCCTTGCGGCCTTACTTTCTCGTCATATCTTTTTTCTTGTATCTCGGATTGTTCTTCTCTCGGAGCTTATTGTCGCAGTAACTCTAGGGAAGGCTGCGAAGGCCGCGGAGGCTGGAGCAAAGGAGCCCAAAAATGAACTGATGAAATAAGAATCGAACCTGCAGCCGAGCTTCAGGAATCTGCCGTCAGGAGAGATGTGAATATCTGCAGTGGCATTCGTTTGATCCGGGCGGTTCGGGCCAGATGCTGGATCGCCTTTCACATTCTTGGCATTGCCATGATCATGGTTGTTGTAACCTGAAGGCATCGATCAAACCCAAGTGAGCCGTTTAGGGTTGGCACACTATGGCACACTGTGTTGAAAAAGATTTCAAAAGCCCCATCAAGAGTCGTGCAACAATATACCGCTCCAAGGTTGAAACATGCTTGAACGAGAAATGTGTTGCCTGCCTTCTGGCAAAGTGGACACAGTCTGCAAGATTGGGCCAAGAATTGCATCGTCCTGACGCTCCAGCGTTGCGGCCAGGAAAGGAGTTTAAAGAGGTCAATGTACTATGAATTACTATGAGCAATTTTGAATGACCTACAACTTTACAAGATTTTACACAAGGAGCTTGAGCTTTTACAGCAGCCTGTGGGTTTTCTATCTTGAGTCTGAGGTCTGACTACAGTAACTGCTGGCTTCACCTCACTATGTCGGCTCATGCAGTGCCAACTGGAAGACTTCCTTGCGAAAGGCGTACACATTGATAGTGCAGTCCAGCTCATTGATGCCATACCTCAATGCAATGGCTAGTCACTTCATCATCGCCCCTTCGGCTCATGGTGCAAGCAACATGGCCCTGTCGACCAGTCCGGCTGACCCTCCAAAAGTGTCTGCCATGTTGCACAAACCGGCCCTTGGGATGAAAACCTGAGTTTCTCAACAGGTGAGCATCTTGACCAACGTTCCACGAAACCGATGTCATCAGACTAGATTGACTCTTTGAATAGCAAAAAGAAAGACACCAGGGCAATCCAGGGGAGGGGAGGTATCAGACAACTCAATATCCACTCAGCCAGGTAACACATATGTCTGGGCCCAGCTTTGGCAGCAGTACTCAGAACCTCTTCCTCAATCAAAGCTCCAGCAGCAACATCCAAACGGTAGACCTGCGTGTTGCAAGTGCAGCCGACCGCCGCCACCGCCAAATCCGCCACCACTCTGAGAGCAGGATTTGCCCGTCTGAAGGACAGAACAAAACACAACACAGCTTGCCAGGCAGTTCTCCAATGTTGGCAGCTTGGATGTCCACTAGCACAAAGAACTGAAAGAATCATGAGCTCTATCCATTGCTTTCGGCAACACCTTCCCCAAGGGGTACCCTCCTGCAGATTAACATAGACCACCAAACCCACTGGGTTGTAGAGGAAAAATATTTTGCACAGCTGGTCTGCGGGTGTGTATATAATAATTAACAATATTGATACAACCAGACTTAACGAACATCCAAGTGGCATAGATTCTGTCCAGGCCAAGATCGGAGATCAAACCATACTTTCCTCTCTCGTCAATCAAACAGGAGTGAGGATGTGCCTGCATGACACCGCGTAGGGTTGGCTGAACGCGACGGAAAAGCACTTGGCTGACACAGCTGACATGCCCAGTGGGGAGTTCCAGAGCCTCACCCTCGCCCTTGTGCAAGATGGAGGAGGCCTGGCCACGCTTCCCAATTTCAACTCGAATGTCTACCGCTGACGATATCAGGATCCACACAATATATGCATGTGTGTAGATTTCACCACCATCTGTGGCAAAACGACCGGATTGAAATGGTCGAAATACAACATCATGCAGGTCGTGAAAAGGGTACCGTTCTCCCTGTCTCAAATGAGAGGGACAATTTAATCTTCTGAAGCGAAGGTTAAAATTACTCCAATTTAATAGCAATGGCCTCCAACCTAAGAGCGACGGCCTCCAACTAAGGTGAAAGTTACATGCCTCTGTTTGTTGTGTTCATGTCTTTTTGTGCATCTCTTGGAATGTGATTCTGCCTCCCCCCAGGCTTCCATCCGGCTTGATTTTCAGCAGGTTCACTCCACCACCATGGTAGGCCGCGCTGATGACCTACTTTACAGAATATCAGGGGATGTGGCGTGTCACACGTTGGTCAACTGCTGAGGTAAGGACCATGCCAGCAGACCCTGCATAGGCCACAGCCACATGGGCACCGCCTCACCAGGGACTGAGGCGACCAGGTTCATTGGAATTCTAAAACAAGATCGCTTCCCCCAAACCGTTACTAACAACTCAAAGCCGCTACAGGAAGCAAAGAACAGTGGAAGCTCACTCTTCCCGCCTGAGACATCACATTTCACCTGAGCAGCATCCATCTCTCACTATTGGATCTTTTTCCGAGAGCTGCAAATTATTGGGCTTCAAACGTTGCGAAAGACTTCTGCGAGAGGCTTACACGAATCTTTTTGCTGATTCCCAAACAGGCGGACGACAGGGGCCCATGAAAGGAGGGCATGGCTGTGCATCGAATACTCAACCCCGACGACCCTCGGAAATGGGAAGAAACGTGAATGCATTGAGAGAATGTCTCATATTACTAGTAACAAGAAGCTACTAGGCTACATGGGGCTGCTGGCCATAGCAAGGACGCTACTAGGAGCAAAGGTCATCGCGACTAGGAGCAAGGACGCTACGAACCACCCAGAACGCGTCCCGCGATGTCCCACGGCGTCCATCCTCTCAGACGCCGTCCATCGGATGCTCAGTCACCGTGTTGAGGTGTGTCAAGGTACCAGAAGGTTCAACGCTGAAGGCCTCAGCTTTCGAACTCATGAGAACCGGAGGATTCGTTCGTTATGGCGATTCCAAAATCAGATCTGTCGACAAAACGCATGCTCTGCGATTTGTGCAATGGAAGTGTGATCTACTCTGTCAGGCATTGCGAAAGGTTCGCCAGATTGACAAACCCTGCGAGGCGCTTTCCACGCGCCCGTGAGATCACCACGGGCAACAGAAATCAACAGAACCTATTCTGACAACGTGTATTTACAATTAATAAAACCAGAGCAGCAGGCATGTTCCAAAGGCTTTGAAGATATTCATGCGGCGTAAGACCAGCACAGCCCCCCCTTTTTTCGCCCACGCACAGTTGACAGCTAGCTCCGAGCGTCGGCCGCTCCCTCCTTGGCCACCGAGTAAAGGAAGCGCCCATCGGATCCCAGGGCCAAGAAGCTACCTCGACGAGCCCGGGCTTTTTCGGGTGAGCAACCCAGGCGATCTGACCAACATCCAACAATATATATAACGTAACGAAGAGTGTCATGTTATAACAACAATATTGGATGAACATTTCACATATAACATGTCATATATCCAACAATAACATGTTATAACGTGTTGTGACAACATCCATCAATGTAACACCATAACCCGAAGAGTCAGTGAGAAAGCATTGTCTTGTCTACCACACAAAAATGATCAAACATGGTTGACAAGTTAACAAGTGTGATTTGCCCTGTTTACTCATGACTTCTTGACACACAACCAGGATGGTCGTGCCTGAGAGGGCGGAATTATTGTAAATCGCTTCCCTCTCGCCCCGCCTAATTACCCTCCAGCACCCTTCGTGTTTGTTCTATCCTTGACCTTTGAGCAAGCAAATCCTTTTTGACCACATGTGACCACTAATTGCCTGAAACACTTCCACAAACCAGCACTTGATCGAACGGGATGATCTGCGCCATCCGTGCCTGTGCCGTCCTTCTCGTGCAAATCTCCAACTTCTGTAAGTTCACCAGTCCTTTTCGTCCAAACCGCATGCGGATGACCGGCAGGTGACCGACAGGTTGACCGACACGTTGACAGGATGTGCCGCTGGACTAGCAGGAGTTACTGGCCTACTCATTTACAAACCATGTCATGTATGAAATCAGCAAGAAACATGGACAACATTGGAAAACTACGGAACGAATGAACGGCCAGGATGAACCAGAAGAATGACAGAATGATGACAGGTCAACCACATGCAGATGTTCAAACGGCTCGGATTTGACCTTTGTTTTTCATGGAGCGTCGGGTCTAGTCTATGTCTGAGTCATGGATCTGGTTGTTCAACCAGATAGACTTGAAAAACAAAGCACAGCGGCCTTATCGGGAAAAATTCAGAAACAATATGGGCTGGATGACAACTGAGCGCACTATCTGGCTTTTGAAGAACAGGATGCACTTGGACAATGCCGCTTTCATCAGTGCGAGACAAATTTCGTGCAAGTCCATTCCTCGAGCTGCGGCTGCTGCGAGGACGAATGGACAGCCTCCGACTTGCCCCCTTTTGACTCAGCATTTGAGGGAAGCCGTTCATAGCCGTTCAGCTGACTGTGCCAAGTTGCCTAGATCTGGTTGTGTCCAAGCACTCTGGCTGACAACGCTGCTTAGAGTCTTGCCTTGCCCTCGGGTGAAAGCCACACACACTGTTCGAAACAGCATGTTTTGCATTGTTTTGCAACAACAACCCTCGGTTCGCCTCTGCACGACGTGTTTTGCTGTTAACACGCTGCACGACGGACGTGTGTGTCTCAACCGACGCTTCGCCCTTGTGGGGTCAGAATCAGTCGTTCTGTACGAACATCTGCCAGCTTCAAAGGGAGAAACAGAGAGAATATGAAAGAATGAATTATGTGTGTTCAGTGGCATGACACATATTTCGGATCCAGTATGATGTAATCAATACTATTCAATATTCCATCTACAGGCTAGAACAGCGTTGAACTTAGACGGACCTACTTGCAAGTATGGTTGATTGAACAGTATACACATTATAGAATATGATTCGATTTATGATAATTTATGTGTGTCCTTCATGCTCCATCAGGCTACTAAAATGACAAGCTTTGCGACCGTCTCCAGAGCAAAGGCCTGGAGAAGAACTTGCTTTTTCGGCAAAATGCCTGCCTAGAAAGATTCAGAAGCCTCAATCATCACCATCGATGCCGATCACCTCAATCATCGATGAGATTGATCGTCGCGAGAATCTCGACTTCGGTTGACTTCGGGGGGGGACTGTCATGGCTGGTGAAGACCACAGGCGAAACCAGCTGCAGGACAAGGTGCATTCACTGCAGTGGCATGCCGGTGTTTGAGTACATTTTCTTCAATGACGCCTTCTTCTTCTCGTCTGGCTCCGGCATTGGCATGCCTGCGATGCCCCACAAAAGAATATATATGAATACAGTACATTGTTGCACGCTTTGGCTAGACAAATTGCGAGTTTGGTGAATCCTCCCCAAAAAATCTTGCATGCCCCAACCTGTGAGAGAGAAGTGCTTCGAGCTCCCGTTCTGGTTGTTTGCATTGGCTGTCCACTTGTTCTTGCTCTCGGACGTCGACACCTGGCGCTTCAGCTCGTTCTGGCTCGCTGAATTCTGTCTGGCGAAGAAGCCGCCGCCACTGTTCGAGTTCGCAGCCCATTTGCCACTGGCACTCTTTTCCGACCACTTGGCGCTGTTGCTGGGCTTCCTCGAAACAGTCACATTTCACCAAAAAGTTGACCGTTTCAGTGCGATTCCTCATCGATACCAGTACCGGTGTCCTCATCGGTGGTGTAATGTTGGCGTCCCCCCTCGTCGTACCTGACACGCTGACACCGGCTCCGAGTGTTCTTACTGGAATGCCCATGTCACCCTGGATTTGGTATGGGGACTTTTCGCCTAAGTAAAGCATGGATGAACACGGTACTGGCATGTACCGGCTAGCTAGTTTTGCTGTAGGACGCTGTAGGCAATGGGCTGTGGGTGTCAACAGCCTGCACAACCCAACTAGCCTGCCGATGTTGCATGGTCTTTTACTAAGGTCTTTTCAGATCCTTGAAGTCCGTAGATTTGCCGCCAGGCGACAGGGGCATGCCAGTGTTGGAATATTTGACGCCTTTGCTGGATCGCCGTTGAGGAGACTCTGGAAGCTGCATTCCTTGGGAGGACTTGAGAAGAAAGCTCTCAACTGAGCAGTGCAAAATCAACGTTCACACGGGATCATTCCTGGATGTTTGGTGATTACTTTGAACAATTCTGCATACGTCTGTCACAACAACGGAATCAGCAAGCATTACAAGCATTCAGCACGGGATCTTAAGCTAACGTGTTTCAGAACGTCCACATCCTCTTCAGTCTTTACACATGACTGCAAACCAGGAACCTGTCACTGAATAGTGGAATCGGCCGCTCTCGGTCTGGAATCGGCCACTCTCAGTCTTAAAGCCTTGGCAAACAAAGACCTTTGGAGGTCTTGCAGTGCTTGGCCGGCCTTCAGTTCAGGGTTCAAACAAGTAGAACGTCTTAGAGTGGCACTCTCTCTCTCTCTCTCTCTCTCGCTCTCACTCTCTCACTCACTCACTCACTCACTCCCTCCCTCCCTCCCTCCTCCCTCGCTCACTCTCTCACTCTTTCTCTTTCTCTGTGCCTTTCTCTTTCTCTTTCTCTGTTTCTTTCTCTGTCAGATTTTTCTGGCCTTGGCGTTGACACTTAGTTAAAAATATAAATAAAGTAAAAACATCCAAACAATTCTGATCAGATTCAGATTGTGACAGACTGACAAATACATAAGATGTCTCCATTAAAATACAGCAAATACGCAAATCTCACCCATCCGAATCACCAGACTGTCCGGGTGTCAAACCTTTTGATCCTTGACGAGAGTTTCCGTGTCTTCCTGGCCAGGCCAGGCAAATCGTCAACCGGCAAATGGAAACCATCGAACGGAAAAAGGGTTTGTATATATAAACAAATTGCAAAAAGACGCTGGTTGACTGTTGAAGCAAGCTCTGCTTCTGAAGAGCTCACGGCTTGATCTTACGGCTATGATCCCATTGATCCTGTCAGTGTTAATTCGACCAAAAGGGCTTCCAATAGGACTCCCCGCTACAGTCACCCAAGCTCTCACAAGGCTGTCTCCAACGTCTACATCCAATTCGAGTACCCCGTACGCCGTTCGTGAAACCAGCCCACCTGCGTTCGTGAAACGCGCAACAGTGCCGTTTCACCCACGGCCCCACAGCATACAGTCCCCTGAGACAGCACACAGCGCTGTCAGGTCGTGTGGCAAACAAGTCTCATAGCCTACCAGATTCAGCTTTCTATCTGCAAGGCACATAAGCAAGGACGCTACTAGGAGCAAAGGGCATCGCTACTAGGAGCAAAGGACGCTACTAGGGGCTCCTGGCCATACTACTAGTAACAAGAAGCTATTAGAAACTAATAAATAGAATGGACCCGAACCGAGGACCAAACCATGCCTTGACGCTATCTGGGCGTCTGACGGGGCGCTGTGGGACCTCCATCTCCCAAAACGTCCGGTTTGGTCGACGTCCCTGGCCCGTCGTCCTTCGCCGCCCTTCGTCCCGACTACCTCGTCCCTGGCCTCGGATGCCTTGAGATTCGTCAACTGGGACTCCACTTGGTTCTTCTCCACTGGCTTTGGGGAACCTGCCCGGACACCGGAAACCGGAGCCACGTCGCTTTTTTTTTCGGTGTGGACCCGGAAACCGGAAACAGAGCCACCGGACGGGCCGTGCTGTTCTGATTTCGATGTTCTTCCAAACAGGACCCAGAGGTTTGAGGTTTTGTGATCTTTTTCAGCTTTTGTTTTCTTAGATTCAACCAATCTACCTACCAAATCATCCAAACGGCATATCAAAGAGGCTTGAATGCGCTCTTGCTTTCTGATGGCTCACCGGTACTCAATGGCAGCTTCCCCTTTGGTGGTTGTCTCGGGAGCCAGGTCGTTTGTCGCCTTGCAACCACCCGAAGCAGCCGTTGAAGCAGCTCATCTTTGCTGTTTGCTTACAAGAAAAACTTAAAATGCCCTCTTGAGCCAGACTGTCTGCAGACAGAGAGAAATTGAGATCGAGATCTATAGTGCGCTCTGAACTTTGGAAAGCGTGCTAATTATATCTATTTATGCTAGAAGATGCGCAGCGCAGTTCACCAAGAATCTGCACGGACCAAAGGTTCTTCCATGTTCTTCCCACAGACCGCATGGATCGAATGCCGGGGCTCTTTGTGTCGAACTCAAATGCCTGGATCGAGGTCTTGCCAGCAACGAAGACAGGCGCCATCAGGATGTGGCACACAAAGGGAACGACGCGTGATATTTCTGTATGCGGCACTATGACTGTGGCATTTCGTGTGCTTTCCAGTAACAGTTGGTCCAGCTCTGGGAGAGGACTCGGAGAGGATCAAATGACCAGAATGGATCTCTGTCAAAATGGCAACGCAACAAGCCGACCCTGGTCCATTCCTTTTTCCACTTGATGTATATATAAAATTATATAAATGAAATGAGGGATCAAGTAGAGATTAAGATACAAGTTACAGGGCTTCATGTCTTCGTCCGAGACTGCTCTAATTCATGATGGGCCAATAAGCTGAGGCTGTGGATGGCCTCAGACATGCAAAGCAAATAGGCTATGCAAAGCTAGAATGCAAGTCAAGTGACAAATCCACAAGAGCAAGATTAAACTGAGATTGAAAAATCCAGATGGCATCGAATCGACCCTTATCCCATCACTACATCTCACTAGAGTCACTAGTTGTCTGAAGTTCTCCTTTTCGTCGAACTGACTTGACCTATCAAAGAAGAGACTCCTTGCCTGCAATGCGGCTGCTCGGGCAGCAAGGTGCCTCTCCTCACAAATAGCGGCCATATAAAACAGCGCGGGAAAGCCCAAGGAAGCTCCGCTACGAAATTAAGGGGCTAATGGGCCTACAAAGTCCTCAATCAAGTGTCTTTGTGGAGAATGCATGACTAGTGAAGACTAGTGAAGACTTGTGACTAGATGCTGGATGACTCTGGTCATGCGTTTATGCCAAAAAGGTCGAAAACTCAGCGGGTGTCCTCAACAAAAACAGAGAGGATCCGCGTTGCCGGCCTTGTCATTCCAAGTCGTGATTTCGTGAAAGTTTATAGTGCGTTAGATTTATCAAGATACTTATGATATGATATCATATAGTCTTCCGTCTTCAACGCAGTTGTCGGATGGATCACTACGCTCCCTACGCTTCCTACATCTTCCATTCGGCTCCCTCCGGCCCTTTCAGGGGACTCCCTTCCTGCAAAAGCTTTCTTTGTGCCTCTGTCGGACCTGTCAGGGCAACGTTTTCCTTCCAACCGGATGAAGCGATGGCCTCCAACCTAACGATGGCCTCCAACCAAACATCTGGAAAAGCACCTCTTTGATGTATCGTTTGCAGCTCTTTGAGGTAGAATGGTACAATGGTAACAATGGTAAAAGAAAACTACCGTAGAGTCGAATCCACCATGTCATGATCCTTTGGCGGCTTGTGGGGCTTTAAAAAACAACCTACTACTCTATCTACTCTCTGTGATCGGCTGCGTAAGGGAATTCCACCTTGAATGGGTCCCAAAGAAAGCTCGTTTCAATCTTTTCAAGATGTGTCCACTCGTGAGACTCCTTGGCCCAGGCCTAGTAGAGCTTCTACGAAGTCCAACCGTTGCTGGAGCTCAGCCTGGTCCGATGCGCCGGTCGCCGTACATCTACGCCTGGGAGTGGCCCATCTAGGCCCTAATCTTAGCCTCTTGTTACTAGTAGCGATGCAAGGAGTCCCTAGTAGCTTCTTGCCACCTAGCTTATATTTATTCATATTTATAATCTTAGCCTATCTGGAAAATGCAAATCTCCTCGACCTGAAAGTGGCTCCGGGTGAGCCACTGGAGTCTGTGGCGACGACAGGCACACTGGAGCATATTTCTGTCAGAAGTCAATGGTTCACCTTCTGGGTGTGGTACGCAGCTAATAATTATAGGGAATATGTACATATATATATATATATGTAGGTATAGTAGTATGTAGGTGTGTGTATATATATATATATAGGTGAGGAATATAGTATAGTATGTAGGTATGCTTGGATATGCATGTAGAGTAGGATCCTGAACTGAACGCCGCCTAACATCGCCTAACGACAGGATTCCACAGTCACTGCCGACTGCCGCCACTGCCTTATCTTTTTCCAACTGCTTCACCCGGAGGAGCAAACCACTTGAAACTGGCTCCTGCTGCTCCTGCTGCTCCTGTTTTGCAAAGCGATGCTCCGGAGGAGTCTTTGGGATTCCAAATGAATCGAAATTATATGCTCTCCACCCATCAAATATCATGAAGCTACCACAACATCTGCAAACAAACACGGGTCCTCCCCAGCATCGCTCTGTACCACACCTTGCTGTCATGGCACATTCAAGATAATCCCATCCAAAACTTTTCACAACCTAATAGTAGCTCGACTGCTCCATGCATTCTTCTCTGTTTACCCAGCTTCTTTATCTGTACATCCTGGTGCCTCTGCATAATATGCACGCGATGTACCTTGTGTCTGCTGACCTTCACTTGAGAGAGGAGGGGGTGAACGAAAGGTAGCAGGCAATCACAAGCAACCCTGGTAAAAGTCCATGACGGCGTGAACCGGCGGAGGGGAGATTTGATCCAGGGCCCCCCCCCCCCGACGAACAGAATCAACTCTAGAACCAAACTCAATGCACAATCCCAACTCCTGATTGTAATACATTTTTGCTCAAGCAAGGAGAACTCAGGTAGCTCAAGCTACCTTTCGTGATTAGTAGTATGGGAGGCAGAAAGCATTCTATAATGGCTGCATTTAGCCTTTGGCAGAATTTGCCGAACTGTGTGCTCTCACGAGAGCAAAACTTTGTGTTTGCTTAAGAGCAGAAAAAGAGAGATGACAAATGTATGATCAGGGTTCGTCAGATCGTCAAAAGTCTGCGCATAACTCATGCAGAATGGAATCGTTCCATGCACCGATTCCATCTTGAACTGCTTTGACCCCTCAGCTGTGGCCCGAGCTTGCGCTGCTCTCCGCAGCCTGCAAGGACTGGAAACACCCCACCCAAAGTTGCAATGTTCTCCGACCCGCTTTTATAGAAACACCTGAAGTCAAAATGACCATCACCAGCAGTCACATCACATGACCCGGAAAAAAAGGTCACTGAGCAACCCAGTCAGACGCGTCACTGTGTTCATCTAAAAAGAAGAAACCCTCACCTCAGGAGCCTCAGGCTGCTTCTGCGTGGTGGCCATGACTAGTCCTGGCTCGTGGAGCTTCATGCTGAACAGCTCATATGCTACTAGTAACAAGTGCCACGCTAGTAGTAACAGGTGCCTTACTAGTAGTAACAAGAAGCTACTAGGAACAAGTGCCTTACTAAATGCTGCTTCTGCGTCCAGGTAGAAAGGAGACAGGTCGAAGCAGCTAAACGCGTCAATACGCATGTTCTAGTTCTAGCTGGCTGGGTGACCTGGTGTCATCTTGGTTTACCCTTTGACTGGTTTGCCGCATTTGTGTGGCAAATGATTCACCAATCACGGCACCAGCCAAG